CGTCGTGTTGCACTTTCTTATAATAATCTAGTTCAAATTTTTCCTAATATTGATATTTTTAATTGTAATATTTCTATTTTTAATCTTATACTAAATACCAGTTTTTAATATATTATTACGATTTTTTTATGCTTTTTATGTTTAAAAAAAAAAAAATTATATATTTTTATGAATGATATTGTATATTTTTATGGCGACTCTGTTATTGGTGTTTTTGATACACTGTTGAGTCTTGAATAAATAAATTAAAAAAAAAAAAAAAAAAATCATCAGGAATCGATGATTCTTTTGTGACTGTAAATCCAGCACTGGCAAACTTAATTATCTCCCTTTTGTCTTAATTTTTATTCTCATTGTTACCAATTTCTAAAGAACACACAATGGTGGACTATACATTTTAAATATTTCAATAAACCCTCAAATACACCCCCTTCATAATATGCTTCAATCCACGAGTTAAACAAAATAAATAAAATTATGAATAATTGATTATGAATTAGGAGGTAATATTCTATTGTGACAATACTACTATATTAACTACTCAAGAGCATCACACCATACAAAATTGAAAAGAATCAGAAGCATCCTGGAAACACTTTTAAATGAGAAGCCAAAAGGCAAACAGAACCTGAAAGGAAAAATTGCCGCATTATCGTCCGAAGTCATGAATAATAGATTACAGATACAGATGCTTCCTACCAAACAATTCAATAAAATGCTTATTTGATTCTTATTTGAAATTTGACAAGGTTGGTTTGGCATTCTATTACTGTATTTTAAATAGTAACTTGTTGGTGAACTCATGAGTTCTCCCTCTAATTACCCCCTTCAATTAAGGACCACTTTTCTGTGATCCCAAATTAATAAATGTCTTATAATTATTATTATAACTAGAGATCAAAGCTGCTGAAGACCATGAAAACCAGAATCCCAAAAGTGGTCTTTACTTGGAGGGAGACCTGTAGCTGAATCAAAAGGTTGAACAGGCCATTTGCTTTCAAATGGGACTTCAAAATTTAATCTATCACAGGCATTATGATTATGGCAATTTGAAAGTCTTTAAAAATGGTTATTTAAGGAGTCAAAGTGTGACATACTCTAAGGAAATCAACTCGATCTTGAAAATTTAATAAATCTCCATCAGAAAGTTGTGATTGATCAACATGCGAACAAGGTCTAAATTGTTTTATGAAGCGTGCTGTATTGTTTCGGGTAACTTTTAACTTCTTTTTAAATTGCACACTCACACTTGAGAACCACTGACAAGCAGAGTAATCAAACAATGGTTGAATAGGAGCAAAGCTGAAAATCAATTAAAATTTAGGAATGAGGACTGAAGATAAAGAAGAAATTTAAGTCTTGAGTTTGCTCTGCACAGCATCTGCTATAATGCAGAAACATTTGTGAAAAGCTATATTATACAGTTGACTTTTGTTTAATTGTAACAGCACTAGCATATTTTTTGGTTGTTTTTTAAGTAAAAAAATACAATCTGACATGGTGATGCATGTCTTGAGTCTTGAGTTAAATACTCCTTAAAAAGCATCTTGCTTGTCCTAGGAGGTTTCGTGCTGTGGAGTGTGCTGTTTGGTGCTCGCAAAACCAGTCAGTGCAAGTTAATTTACAAGTGATTTAAGAGTGCAAGTAAAATTGGAAAACATTTCGATCGCTAAAACTGTTTGTGGGATGCTGTAAGAAGCAACTCCCTCAGTACTGGCAATGCCAAAGTTTGAAATTGGGCAAGTGTTGGTGCTGTAACTACTTGTATTGGTAACCTGTTCCACGTAGATATTGTGCGCACAAAGAAGGAATATCTATAGTTGTCGTTCTGATAGGCCAGGATGTTTGATGTTCTACTTTGACGAACAGCTGGAATAACGCAAGATGGGAATGGAATATTTACAAGTTTGTTGTGAATCTTATAAAACATTGAACATTGATTTAAATGTCTCCTGGTAGCTGAAGAATCGCACTTAAGCTGCTCGAGCATCTGGGTAACACTTGATGTTCGACTGTAGTTGTTAAAAACAAATCGCCGTTGCACAGCCTGAAGTGCATTTATCTGGGCTTTAGTATGTGGGTTCCAGGCTGCCGAGGAGTATTCTAACTTTGGTCTCACTAGAGCTTGGTAGGCACGGGTTTTAACTTTGGGAGAACATGACGATATATTTCTCCTAAGTACTCCAAGTGTACTACGTGCGTTTGAAGTGATTGTTTGGACATGATCCTTCCAGTTAAGGTGTTTATTGATGGTAACTCCCAGATACTTGTGTTTTGTGGTTTCCTCAACGCATTGACCCTTAGCTATGTATGTATGTTTCCACGGTTTTGTTTTACGAGTGATTGAGATGGATCTACATTTGGCTGCATTAAAGCACATTTGCCATTGGTCAGCCCACTGAAGAACTCTATTCAGATCACCTTGAAGCTGTTCTTGATCATTTATATTTTTAATTTCTCTATAAAGGATGCTGTCATCAGCAAACAAACGGAGGGAGGAATTTACATTGGTTACTATGTCATTTATATAGACCAAAAAGAGGGTTGGACCCAAGACGGACCCTTGTGGTACTCCAGATGTCACGGGAGACCAACTTGAAAGTGGTCTCCCGTCTCCCATTAACCACTAAACATTGCTCTCGTCCAGCCAGAAAGCCTTCAATCCAGCTGAGAGTTTTGCCTCTTATACAACAATATTTGAGTTTTGTTGCCAATCCGGCGTGTGGTACTTTGTCAAATGCCTTGCTAAAATCTAGCAGTAAAACATCTGTCTGCCTTCCCCGGTTTAAGACCTCGGACCAGTCTTGAGTTGCCTGAATGAGATGAGTTTCACATGACAGTTTTTCACGAAAACAATGCTGCTCACTGATAATGTTATTTTTCGCTAGATGTTTTGCTGTGTGAGATAGAATGATATGCTCCATAATTTTACATGAGATGCACGTGAGACTGACAGGACGGTAGTTTATTGGTTGTGATTTGGAGCCCTTATAAATTCCAGTAACCAACGCTTTTTTCCAGTCTCCTGGAAGTAAACCTGTGTGGTATGATTGCTTGAGTATAAAATGCAATATTGGACCAATTTCAGATGCGTATTCTTGTAAGAATCGTGCGGGTATATTATCTGGGCCACTTGCCTTGTTACATTTGAGTTGTTTGAGCTGGGTAATTACACCATATAAACCTATGTCCAAGTCTGGTATATCTTGGTATGGTGAGTTTCCCAAATCTGGTATGTTTCCCGTATTTTCTTCTGTGAAAACAGATGAAAACTGATCATTTAGAGATTGTGCAATCTCCTTGTCTGTAGTATATATTTTGTTGTTTACAGTCAGCGGTGGTATAGACCAGACTATTCCACAGTCTGTATCTGATGAAACAAGATTGTCTCTGGTTGCAATAAAAACGCCTCCCCATGAATGTCTCTATCTTTCCTTATAACATGATATTGGTTAGGAAATGTTGAGTAAGTTGGTATGCTATCGTCCAGTTTGGAGTTGCATCCAAAAACTACATCTGGTTTGTATTTTTCAATGCTAGCATAAAAAGAGGTCCTTTCTCTTTTGCCAATGAAGACCATCACAATTTATAACCATAGCCTTTTATCTTGGAACCTTCATTCTTTTCTTGGACTTTTTATTAAATTTTGCCCTTTTCCCTTTTTCCAGAGTTGATGTTTGAGCAGGTTTGAAGGTCAAATGGTCATCTTGATTGAAGGACCCACTATCAACATTGTCATCCAGTAAATCAAAGGAGTTTGATGTGCTCATAAGGGCACTGTCAAAAATACCAGTCGATACATTTGGAAGTCCACAATTTAAGCAAATCCAGGAAAGCTTTGAATTTTTACAATGGATATCATATGAGGTCGGCCATATTTGTACACCCCGTATGGTACCATGTTAAACACTCATCGCAGGAAATTCCTTGGTGTTCACCTTGGACTTCCTGTTTGCAGATTCCGCATGGATATATAGTGATCTTTGGGCAGGGGTTTAATTCAACTTGACCGCTCATGAACAGTGCAAGTAATATTAGCTGCCTACATGATGTGCTTTTTTGATGCAGTAACCCTGTTCTATAGTAACAGTTTGGTCTGGAATTCAGAGAAAAAGCAACAATATATTGTTGCCAGTTATATGAATCCTATTTAAATCATTGTGATGTTTCCCCATTATAAGGGAGAATGATTGAGAGTAATTAGTTTTGTGCCATTCCCAGTTTCTAGTAGACCAAATATTATATCTGGAATGTACATTGTCTTGATCAATGAAGTTCTCATTTGATGACTCCAATTTTCTGTATATATGTAGAAAAGATAGTATAAGGAGCAAGCATTTGAGACTGAGCTCCATATTACTATTAGTTACTAGTATAAAAGACGAATGAGTTGAAGGTCCAGCTCCTGCGCTAACTATAATAATATTAACACATTGCCGGATCTGGAGGGGGGGTCCTTTTCCCCCCCCCCCCCCTTTGGACAAAAAAAAAAAAAAGATTCTAGGCCCGTGAGCCGAAATATTTGTTGTTACAATGGGACAATTAGAAGTTGGGATTCATTGAATCGTTTTCAAGAGAGGGAAAACCTATACTTTTAATTACTTAAAATTCATTTAAAGACACCTCAGAAATCAGGAATCAAAATTTTCCCAACCCACAGTTCCCTTTGGGGGTTCATCCATTCCTGGAAAAAAGAATACACATATGCAACTACTCATTTGTTTTATGTATACACACATAGACCTATTTACTGTAATAAGAATAAGATAGTTTACCTAACCATTTTCAAGACGGAAAAACCTTGAAATTTGAAGAACTTAAAAGTCATTGAAAGACACCTCAGAAGTCGGGAAAGATCATTTCCCGCCATTTAGGAATTAAAATTTTCCCGGGGGAGGACCCCGAAACCCCCCCCCCTCCATTTTTCTTTTTGGGGTTCATAGATACATAGAAAAAGGAATACATATGCAACTACTCAATTTTTTCTTCTGTATGTATACCGGTACACACATAGGCCTATTTACTGTAATAAGAATGAGAGAAATTTACCTAACCTTTCTCAAGAGGTGATAAAACTTTGAATTTTGAAGAACTTAACAGTCATTAAAAGGCACTTCAGATGTTGGGAAAGCTCATTTCCCGCAATCTTGGAATTACAATATTCCGGGCCCCCTTTCTTTTGGAGATTTTTTTTAGAAACATTCTGACCCCCTCCTAGATTTGAATCCAGATCCGCCACTGTTAACAGCACTAACACATTTTTGTTTTAAAAAAATACTAATCTGACTTAATACATTTAATAATCTTCATTGCTATGTATATCACCGGCATACTGGCAAATTTCTTCATAATTTTGGCGAATAATTGTGTTCCTGTCTTGTAAAAGTTGTACATCTGCTCTCTGTCTGTCCTTGTGTTTTTTAACAACTATACCAAGCTGAAAAAAATTAGAAATCACATTAATGATGATCATGATACTAATCATAATAAATAATAGCAATGTTATTTGCATAATGCATATTGCACAGACATCTATGCTTAAATAACAAAATTAGAATAATAATAATAAATGATTATCTACCCACTTAAAAGCAAATATTTACCCACAAATGGACAATAACCTAACATATGCAACAACATACATTTTAGAAATAAATATACATATAAAATTAGCCCAATTATAAAATATACTGCCTGTTGTAAACCTTGATAAAGTGTGAAAAAATATACAATAAAACATTAAATTTTAAATTTAAATGGGTTATACAGGACAAATGTTTTTTGCTGATTTGCAATCACTTTACAGTGAAAATCCTTAACTTTATGAAAAGAAAAGTTAATGGTCTATGCCAAACTTACGTAAAGTATGGTATCATTTATACATTGGGAAGTAAAATATATTTTTGTTGTAATTTTCATTTGAGATCTACGCTAAGTAAGTCATAGTTGCCGGAAGCAGTTTGCAAGTGGCTATTATTTTACCAGCAATGGTGGGGGGGGGGGGCGCTTAAAAAATTTGGCTGCTAAACTGAAGATCAGCTACCACTATGCAATGGGGTCTGCGTGGAAGTTACTGTAGTTGGCATATTGAAGGTATACAGTACCTACTTTAATCAGAGCCAGCTTGACCCATAAACCTTTGTATGGTGAAGAGAGTAAAAAAAAAAGTAAAAAAAGACAACATGAAAGGAACATTATTTACAAATTTATATATTTTATGGGTATCGGTATATATTTATGTAAAAATGTTATTGGATTGAAAAAAAGTGGTTGAGCCAAAGCCTTGATGCCCTGACGGCCCTGCAAGTATTTCAAATTCTTGTCGTGTTTAAATTGTTCAGTGGTAATATTTAAAAAAATGATAACAGATGGGACAAACCTGTCCTTTATGCTTTCCTAGAACAATCATCACATACCCAGGTTCAGCTTTTGGAATTACTGTTTCTAACATAGATTCTGAGACATCTTTAAAAAGAAAAGAAAATTTCCATATTTACCCTACCAAATGTGTTAAAATTATCATTTCATTTGCTTTTTTTAGATAGCAAAAAACACAGATGTAACATTTATGTACTGCATAATGTCATGTATCTTCAGATAAGGCAATTTAATTCCTCATTCGTCAACTAGGCATAAAGATCTTTACAATGAAGGTAGGAGAGCCCTTTTGGCTGGGCTACAGTGCTATTGACCAAATGGTCTGGTACTGCTATTCCTCAACATTCATACTGACAAAAAAAAATCTTTGAATATAAAAAGGATAAATATGTTACAAGAAAAATGCAAAAAAAAAAAAAAAAAAACTTAACCATAAAGAAGACAACCATCATCTGTTTTGCAGGTACATTGCTCAAGTGTTACTACATCTTCAATGTTGACCTTTGACATATAGTACTTGCCGTTCTTGTAAACTCTGTCTATAAAGCGCACCCTTAGATCAGGTTGTAACCAGTGTTTATTGCAAGATTTACTAACAGATAAGCAATAGGAGAAACAGGGATTAAAGGTGTATTATCCATCGAAAATGACTAAAAAAAAAAAAAAAAAACAAAAAAGGACAAAAAAAAAAAAAAAAAAAAATTTTGAAATCAACTTGCTAATTTTTCAGTAACATACAAATTATAAAACTTGAGCAAAAATAATGAATTTCCAAAATACGTGTCCTGAGTTTTATACTGGATAAATAATAAATGATTTCTCACTGTAAAATTCTAAGTGAACTTTTTACACTAATTTCTATGTTCAAGTTGATAATTTTTATGTTGCTTCACAATGAGGAATTTAAATTAAAAATGATTATTATTATAATTTTTGGTATGTTTCATAAGAAAATAAATATTTACTTTCCTTCCATTCTTTTGTTTTCATGTCTGTCTTTGTCAGGTCCCTCCCTCCTGTACTTGCTTCCTTCATCTTCATCATACTGCCTCTGATCTGATTTTTCTCTGTACTTTTCCTCTGTTTGTTTTCCCTTGTGTTTTTTCCTTTTTTGGTCATGTTTATCTCTTTCTTTATCTCTTTTATATTCTTTTTTCTCAGAACTTTCTTCCTCCCCTTCTATCCTACCTCTGGAATGCTTATCATTTTTTCCTTCTTTAGATTGTTGCTCCTGATTGTCTTTCGATTTACTTAATCTACCTTTAAACAGAAATAAAGTACAATAATGACTACAGTAGAAAATTAACATTTCACAAGATTAAATCCTACTTCTGAATCAGATTTCTTTTATTAATCTAAAATGGAAATAGCAGCAAACATGCATTTTTCAGAGTCATATAAATTTTATTTAAAAAAACATTATTTCCATATACTTATTAGCAATGAGTAAGTTTTCTGTATATGTGCACATTATAATATTCAAGTTGTTTATTTAACGAAACAAAGTAATTTTGTACCTTGTGTTCCCACCAGTATGTGACAAGTTTGTTATGCTGTTGGATCGGATAATAAATAAATCAATACTATACAATAGAAATAATAGATGAAAAAAAATCAGCAAACTGCAAAAATAGCCTGTGGGTTGGCAATAGACTAGACTTCTGTCACTTTGGCTTCCTCAGACTTAAACTAATGACTTTGACAGAGTTAAGGAAATACTGTCATCATGTATTCTTTTTCAGAAGAATTCAGTTCATCATTAGAAGCCTTTAATTTTTATCTACTAATATTAATGCTATCGGATTTTAACCATGATTTTGTTTACAAAAATATTGTATAAACATTAGAAAAGTAATTGAAAAATAAATAATGCCCCTTGATCAAACTTTTATGATGTTTAATAATATCAGCAATAATAATAATAATAATAATAACTTGCTTGCATTCATATATTATTTTTCACCTAATGCCTTTTTGCTTTGTATTATTACTCTGAAAATTGGGAACAGTTCAATCACACACACACACACAAAAATACCTTTGTTTGAATTTCATTTATTAATTTTTTTTTTATATGTTTATTACTTATGTTTTACCAATATTTCATATTGGTGACCCATACAACAAATGTACTTACTTAAATCTTTGGCATACTTTCTGTATTCATCATCATCTACAATATTTGCAATGTATTGGCTAATAGTAACTGACTGACCACCGATTGCTAATTTGATGACAAGTTGTGCATTGTCCTCATCCACGCCCTCAATCTAGAACGAAATACATGATAATAAGTAAAAAAACATTAAAAATAGCAGTTCAGATCAAATTAACTATTCAATTAAAAAATGTACAATAGATCTTTCAGTGTCAGCAGAACTAACAACTGCTCAAGCAGAAGATGATCAGAAACTATGTTCTTGTGCCACAGACACACATGTTGTTCCATAAGCACTTTTTTCATACATGTTTACACTGTCGGCTAGGACCCGGGCAAGAATATCAACGGGGCAGGGTTTAGCTAGACGGTATCTTTCATTACCCCAACACACTCCCAGTTGACTCCCTATAATTTTAAAAATAAATTAATATGTCAAAAATGAACCAAAAAAAAAAAGAAAATTATATTCAAATTTAAGACTGAGAGTGCTATTTTCGGCCATCTAGAGGTGCCATTATCATAATTTTTCTTACCACCTCAGCCCCAACCATGGTGGTTTTGAGGTGGTTGAGACCCTCGACATCCTGTGAAAGTCTCTTTCTGGGTCCCCTCTATTTCAGATTCCTGGATCAGACTGATGACCTACATATAATTATCATACGTACCCTTCCATACATATTTTTATGTGGACCTTTAGTTGCCATAACGCCTACTCCTTTTGCATATCCTATAGGTGTATCCTCTTGTCTCTTCTCCCCTGGTTTTAAAGGCCTTTTTGGTTTAGTAGAAAATTCAGGAGGCCTAGGAGCTGCCCCTAGCCCTTGACCTTTAGGCCGAAGTTTAGGTTCTATTGGCTTCACAGCTCTGAAAAATCACAAAAGGTTATATTTTGTCAGCAATGTTGAGTATCCAGACCTCTGTGAGGGCAGAGCTTCCTATGCAATAATTAGTAAAATATGGCAGGAAATTAATATTGAGATCGAGGGCCCATAGCCATATAAGGGGGGCTGTGAATGAAGAACTTGTCATGTAGCGATGGCCGAGGGGCTAATAAACCTAGTTATGTTAACAACAAACCTGCTTTACTGTAATGTTGGGGAACCGAATCTCAAGTACTGTATTTCCAGAGCCACATGCATCTGATGTGGATGACTGAGAACAGTCCATTGTCAGCGGGGTATAAATATATTTTTAACACTACATACAACTGTTTTAAGTGAAATTTTCACTGGGTAGACAATGGCCTCAAAGTTTATTGTATTTTCATTAGTTTACACACCACTGACTTGGGCTATTTGTCATCTCTTCAGCATGTCTAACGATTTGTGGTAAAGGTTTCAATTGGGGCACGGCATGGGGGTGGGGGTGCAGTAATAATGTTATTGTTTACTGCTTTAATATTTATCCAACAGTGTATGAAAAAATGCATTACCAACAGGTGTCTGGAAATTCAGGTTTGCTTGTTTACAAACTTTCATGATGTCAGCAGATCATGCAAAAGGCCAGACTCACACATACTGTACAGGTCATTGCAAAAGGTCCCTATTGCTTTACAGCATATGAACCAATAAATTAAGATTTAATCCTTATCAAATCTTAAAAATGAAGTACAGATACAGATCAAGATCCGCAGCCAATGCAATAATATAGAAAAATCATTAAAATCATAAAAATAAAACATACAAGCACTGTTCAAGCACATTACAAACATTAGGTTAAAATAACATTAAGTTAAAATAATTATCTGACTCACTCTTCACCATCTTTAAGTCCCATTCCTCTAAGCATTGCCATCCCAAATTGACTGATTGGTACTTGATCATAATCTGCATCAGTTGCCTATTAAGCAAATAAAAGAAAAACAAGCACAATTCAGAATTTCTAGCAAATTTCATCAAATGATAAAATTTGATTTTGCCATGCAGAAAGAAAATCATATACTGTACAGCAGTATAACTTCTTATAAGAGGGAACATTAAATATTACTGTACAGTACATCTGCTTCATGAGAAAAACATTAACAGCCTTGTATATACCTGATAACTTGACTAAAAGAGTTATAAATTTTACTAAAATATCTATATAATCTATAAATTTCTCTCTGTATAAAATTGATTCATCTTATTGACAAAAAAAATATTTCTAAATGAAACTGACCATATAAAGCTATGAGATACAGTATTTAACTGTTTGAATTCTCTACAAAAATAATTTTAACAATTTTTTTAATCTAAAAAAAATTCTAACATTATCCAAATAACTTTAATAAAAAAAAATTACTATATAATGCACTATAAATTTAAATTTAATAATTATTATCATGTTTACCTCATTTGGTCTTATAGAGACATCTAGCTTATCTTCAGTTTCATATCCTTCAGGCACTTTATTCCGCATTAGGAGGGGAATGGACATTCCCATATCTTCATTACCTCTATCCTCCCAGTCCATATTCTGTTTTGTTGTTTCTAGGTGAAAAACATTAAATAGGTATATAATATCTCAATGCAATGGCATTTTAAGATGTACTTGAAAATGACCAAAATCATAAAAAGTAATCTTTAAATTAACTTGCTCATTTTGCAGTAACATACAAATTATAAACTTGAGCATAGAAATTATTAAATTAAAAAAATATGTTCCCTGATCTTTTAACTGGATAATTATAATAAAGATAATAAAACACTTCCAGAGACTGGAAGTGTTTCTATCATTTTTTCTCTGTAAAATGATGGTTTTTATGGGTAAGCATTTTGTAAATACACTAATTTCTATGTTCAAGTTGATAATATTTATGTTACTTCAAAATGGGAAAGTTAATTTCAAAAATGATTTTTATGACTTTTTTTTTATTTTTGAAAGGAACAATACATCTTTAAGGCCTGGCAATCAGGTCTCTGTGGTTCATGATGTATATCCTGTTAATAATATATAATAATAGAAATAATAATAACATACAATAATTATAACAATAACAATAATAATATTAATAATAATAATTAGAGGGCACACTGAGGGTGCATACTTCCGCCCACATCATAAATTCTCCTCATTATAAATTTCCCACGCATATTGTCGCAATGAAAAAAAAAATTTAAAAAATAAAAAACAACATGGGATCTGAACCAGGGGGAAACACTCTTCTAACCACTACACCAAACTGTTTTCACATACTGTATAGGTATATCATTTTGAAATTAACGGTCACTTTGAAACACAGTCCATATGGCAGACAGATACAAGTAGTTTTTTCAATCATTGTGTCCTTGACCACTGACCCTGACTCTTTTAAAACTTATTTACTTCATTTGATCATGGAACATTGTGGCCAAGTTTGATACATTTTTGATAAAAACTGTTAAAAAGAATAGTTTTTCTGTTAATTGTGACCAGGACCTTTTAAACATGGAACATTGTGGCCAAGTTTGATAGGTTTTTGAAAAAACACTGTTAAAAAGAATAGTTTTTTTTTAAATTATGTATGACCTGAAGATTTGACAATGACACTAAACCCTCAAAATTTAGTGACATCCAGGTCCTTAGTCATGGAACATTTTGGGCAAGTTTGGCGAGTTTCTGATAAAAACTGTTTCAAAAAATTGTTCTTGTTCATTGTGACCTTGACCATTGACCCTGACCTTCAACAATACATTACTTTGAGATCTTTGGTCTTAGAACATCCTGACCAAATTTGACAAGTTTGTGATAAAAACTATGGTCTGTAGACAAATAAATAAAACAATACTGTAGTTTTTCATTGATTGTGACCTTGACCTTTGACCCTTCAAAATTTAATCAGCTCTAGATCTTTGGAACATTGGAGCATTGTGGCCAAGTGTGATGTGGCTGTGCATTTCGCTTGTATCCTTGGACAAGGCACACAATGATTTTTGTATGCACTTTTAGTGTAGATTTGCCAAATGAAATAAAATGCTGTTATCAATATGACAGCAGTCAATTTCCTGTGTGGATATCAGGTATGATTTAATAAATTGTGATGTAAAAACTCAATCTGGTCCTAGTAGACGATTCTGGAGGAGTAGTGCCAAAGTGCGAGCCAGCGAATCATGCGAGCATGTGTTGTATATTTATTTGTATTTTTATTTATATATATTAATTTATATATGTATTTATATATATTTATATATTTATATGTTTATATATTTATTTATATAATAATTAAAATTTATTTATATATTGTTTGTATATTTATTTGTGTATTTATTTATATATATATTTATATATATTAATATGTTCATTTTTTTATATATTTTTATATTTAAATATATATATAGTATATATATATATATATATATATATATTTATATATATTAATATACTTATTATTATATAAATAAATATATAAACAAATAAATATATAAATACATAAATATATATATAAATAAATATATAAATGAATATATGAATAATTACAGTATATATATATATATAATATAATAATACCGTATACATAAATAAATATATAAACATATAAATATATATACAAATAAATATATTAATAGATATATTAATACTTATTGCTGCGAAGCAGCCAATTCATATTCTTGACAGCAATTTGACCTCTGAAAGGTCATTGTTTGTCAAAAAACAAGTGGTTAAGACGACTGAAAAGCGGAGTTTCCTTCTTTCGTTCTGCCGGGTAAAATCAATTACTATAGGCGACGTTTGTAGACTAACCTACTCGTACCAACGTCCGCATGTCGCGCTAGCCTTATCCTACTCTAGGCCTAGACTAGCTAGGATGGTATAGCCTAGCCTTGAAGGGACGAAGGTCCCAATGAAAAACAACGTCGCTCTTTGATAGCTAACATTGTCTTTTTAACATCACAATAATTCATTATTAGACCTATAGTCGTTTTTTGAATTGTACTCCGGCTCACTGGCTCACACTTGTGATATGTCTCGCACTTGTGATATGTCTCGCACTTGTGATCAAATAACACGCTGGCTCGCACTTTGGCAACAGTACTCTTTGGCAGTCAACTCGCCCCTAGAAAACCCGCCCTTGGAAACTTTCCCCATAAAAAAATGTACACTTCCTAGACCATGCAGTCTTCAAAATAAAAATTGTAACCTTTGGTAATCAACTACATTTTTCACATACATAGAAATTTTTAAAACTTTATTTTAAAAAAACCTAAACCATAATTCACCACACTATAGACACTTTTTGTCAAAAATGAAAAATTATAACTTTGATACTTAATGAGAAGTGTTCTAATATAGACAATGGGTCGCGTCTCATATTATTTGTTATAGTTTTATTATTCATTATTTTCACTTGACTCGCATAAATAATTTTGTTCGAAGAACATTAATATGCAGTTGTACTTCGCAGCACTTCACTTGCAATTTGCAATTTCTAGTATATATATATAAATATATATTTATGCTCACTTGAATAAAATTATATATCTGGCAACTTATTGCCATCTCTCAGTAGTTTTTGTTTTTTCTATCTTGTTTGCCAATGCAGCCCTCCAGTTTTTTATAAATATATATATATATATATATGTATAAATATATATATATATATATATAAATATACAAATGAATATATATTTATATATATATATATATAAATATATAAATATATATACACAAATAAGTATATAAAAATAAATATATAAATAAATATATAATAAATATATATATAGGCCTGTATATATAAATGAATATACAAATAAATATATATATATAAATATACAAAAATATAAAAATATATAAATATTTGCAGTATATATAAATAGATATATAAATAAATACAGTACATATATAAATAGATATATATGTATAAATATATATATATATATATATAAATATACAAATGAGTATATATATATAAATATATATATATACATATATATATATAAATATATGAACATATTAATATATATATAAATAAACAAACAATATATTGTTTATTTTCTATTTGTTTATTTATTTACTTTATTCATTTATTTATATTTGTTTAACTTATAATAAATAAAATACAAAAAATATTCTGATTAATATAGGCTCTTTAATGTAAGATATAATATAATTTAATTTTTTTTAATTCATGGTATTACCTTTTTTCGGCGCCTTGAGACAATTTTATTGTGGAAGGCGCACTACAAATATCCCACCATTACCATTACCATTATTAAAAAAATTAAATAATTATATAAGGGCAATTCCATGACTTTTTTTCAGATTTAGCAAATTTTCAACTTTGAGGAATGTAAACAAGTTTTATATCAAACTAAAGGTTAAAAAATGAATTTTTAGGATTCATTGATGAAACTTTCCTTGTGTGGATGTATAAAAATATATAAGAATTTGAATTACATAATTTTGAAAATATTTAAAAAATATGAAAATGTCATGTTTTTCCAAAGTCTCTAGAAACTAACAAACTGCCATTTATGCCAGTCATTTTTATTTTAAATTGGAGAACTTAACTTATTTTATTTGTAAAATTTTCTCTTTTTTTTTAAGTCGGTCTGTGACCAAACATATTAATATCAATATTTCATAAATGACTTTATGTTTTGATTTTTGTAATATTGTCAATTAAAAGTGTGTGGGAAGGAGTATAAAATTTACTTGGAATTTCAGATTTACTGGTTTATCTGTAATATTTAAACAGTATTTTTACCATTATGAATGCCTTAAAAAGTCGGTCTGTGACCATGGAATTGCCCATAAATAAATATATAAACATATAAATATATATAAATACATACAAATAAATATATAAATAAATATACAAAAAATATACAAACAAATATATAAATAAATATATAAATAATTACAGTATATAATATAAAACAATATAATATAGTATATATATATATATATATATATATAAATAAATAAATATATAAATATATATACACAAATAAATATATAAAATAAATATTTAATAAATATATACATACTGTAGGCCTATATATAAATGAATATACAAATAAATATATATATATAAATATACAAATAAATAGAAAAATATCCGTATATCTGTATTTTAACAACATCTCTATCAGCGCTGCATACTTCCGGATCGACGATTCAAAAAAGTGTACAGTATGTACTGCGCATGACTGGACTACACAGGCAAAGCTCCCCAGTGGAAAAAAAAGGGATTTAAATGTATGGCTTGCATGACTCGCTGGCTCGCACTTTGTCACGACCCATTCTGGAGGCTGTGCCCCAAATACAGGTAGGACCATAAGCTTACTGCTCTGCCAAAAGATATGAAATGTATCGCATGGAAAGCAAAATCAGCTGAATAAAAGAATGGGCACAAAAATCAAGCGTGGATGTGGGTTGGGGGAGGGGGGTTTGGAAAGTAAAAAAACAAAAAAAAAAGAAAAAGAAAACAAATTGATCGCCCAAAACGCCTCAGAGGTATTTTCGGACATGTCTAAAAAACATAGGGTGGTGCAATCTCACACAGCAGGTACAGGTTTTAACAAAATATGCTATTCTCTTACGAGTCCAGTATTTTTACCCCAAAAGTAGGTTGTAACGAACATACAGTAACATTATGATTCTTTTTACTGAGATACAGGGCTAAAAATTAACCTCTAAACCATAGTGGCCGCAGGACCAGTAAGGAAAAAATGATACTGGCCCTTCCAAAGTTATACTGGTACTATTTTTTACGGTCCGAAATATAATTTTACAAAAACAAAACAAAATCAATAAAACCAGCAAGATGACACTGGTGTAATAATTGTTTTTAGCCAATTGAATCTGTCTTTAGCCAAAATCATTAGTCCGAGAAAAAATACATTGTATTAGTTCACGATCGACACAAGAGTTTTTATGGCCCAAAAATGTTAATTTAGACCACATAGAGATTGGCAATCAAAATAACTTTATTTGATACAGTAAGCAACTTAATATTTTCAGCACACCAATGAGGTACAGTAATTCAAAATTTTTCTAAATATAACACAAGTTAAAAAAATTACAAAGGCCTAGGCATAAAGTATTCTCCTTTTGGTTTAGAATGATATCGGGGGTGGGGGGAGGAGATCGTGGGTTTGGATATGGGATTTACACTGTGTTTTTGAAGGTTTGTGTGTATTTTTAACAAAAAATCAAGATTTTACCCCCAAAAAAGGTTGTGATAAACATAAAATTATGATTTTTTTTATTGAGATACTAAATTGAGTCCTACAGTATATTATGTGATTCAATCATTATTACAGGGTTTGGATAGGGTTTGCAGGTTTTTTTTTGAGGTTTGCAGGGTTTGCGGTGTTTAGCAATACCCTGCAATACTGTAGTTCTGCAAAATAATGAGTTAAAAAGTACTGTAATTAATGTTTCATCACCATTGTCTCTATTTTACAGACTTAGTGAATTTTGGATATTAATTAATATTTACCTGAGATGATTTCCTGTACAGCAACATTATCTAAGTCTAGTCCTTCACTTCCTGGTGATTTAAGTGTACCACTACTTATCCTTTGCTGTTTCCCAGTCTTCGATTCAATTGACCATGTGTTCCTCTTTAATAAAGGTATGACTAATTCTTCAGGTTCTTTTTTAGGAACCAAGCTAAAAAATTCATGATTACAAGATGAAAGTATTCATTAGTGATTTCATTTTACTATCCTGTACCTCTAAATATTAATTAGGTATTGGGCTGCTGGAATACATTATATTTTAGACCCTGCATAAACAAAATTATTTTCATCTTTAAAAAAAAAAAAAAAATAAAGAATACCCAAAAAAAAAAAAACACCGTGGCTAGAGATACGGTACCGTATTTCTACTTCATTTTGCTAAAGGTAGGGTAAATGGCATTAAGTCACCATCAACCAATGAAGTGCCAGAATGTGCGTGACGTCATTTTTTGAAGACTGGCATGGCATTGCATATCACCCGTAATGAGCGGTGGAAGGAGAACGATGTACTGGGAAATTAGAACATCAAAAGTACAATATTGTTTGACCTTACTGCCATCATTAAATAGGCGTATGGTTCCAGTTTAAAGTAAAGAGTTTCATTTAGCTAGGCCTATGTAACCATTATCAAACAAGGACTGATTTCTGTACCAAAGTCTTGGCATTTCTCTAGGGAATCTGCCTCTTTTGTCTTGCTTTTAAATTCTTCGCTGGTGAAGAATAGCAATCATGCAGGCCTAGGCCTTGCTTGGATTCTTCTTTCGGCGGCGGCCCTGCTCTAGTGACATACAGTAGGTGTTGGTGGCATATTGTACTCTCTTTGCCTAGCTAATCATCTGCTAATCAAGTACATTTTTTTCGCTAGTCACACACTGTTCACCTCACATGACAAGCACTAAAAACTGAATATACTGTACACAAAGATTCATAAGGCCTCCTAGCATTTCATATACCGTAGTACGGTTTTAAGGGAGGTCTGCATTAAAATTATTGGGAAAATTTGGCACAATAGTAATAATCACGAAAGAGAAACTCATTCTCTCGATCTAGGCCTAGATTCTGTACCATAACAGTGACGAAAGTTTTGTGCATTCAAATTGTATGAATATTTTGGTCGGATTGTAAAGCGTGGTATTATTTCAAGTATAGGCTTCTTGGACTAAAACTTTGGATGTAAGGGGGATGAAATAGGCTTATATAAGTTTATGACTGATATACATTATGCCACCCAGATCAGTGTCACCAGAGCAGCTGCCACAAAAAGCAGAATTCAAGCAAGGCCAAGCAGGCCTTGCTTGCTTAGACTTTTCGCCAAGCGAACTGATTTTAGGCGTAGAGGCCTGCCAAGAGTTTGGTGGAAACAGTCCTTGTTTGATAATGGTTATACAGTTACCATGGTTATAGATAGGCCTAGCTAAATGAAACTCTTTACTAAGTGGAACCATGCGCCTATTTATCGATGACAGATACTAAGTCAAACAATATTGTACTTTTTGATGTCCTAATTTCCCAGTACAGTACTGTACATTTTTCTCGTTTCACCGTTCATCGTGGGTGATTTGCATGCCGGTCTTGAAAAATGACGTCACACACATTCTGGCACTTCATTGGGTGATGGTGACGTAATGCCATTTACCGTACCTTTTTAGCAAATTGAAGTAGAAATATGGTACCGTATCTCTAGCCACGGCGAAAAAAAAACCGCCATGCATCCGTATTTTAAATAAACACACAATATTTGACCCTATTTTAAAATCAGTTATTTTACTTAATTAAAATAAACTGTTATCAAAAATCGCTCAATAATCAAATAAACTTTATTTCATTATCTAGTCTAAATGCTGGAGAATTAACTTACATCACTATCATTTGCCATACTGTAAAGTTTTTCAATTGCGCGGAAGATATCTAAAAAATCAGCTCAAATTTGCACGAAAAATCTCTAGGAAATAGGTTCGACGAACATAATTTCTCCATAATTGCATTGGTGGTATATTCAGATTTGGTCAAAGACAAAGCAAAAACCAAATTTTCGGCAAAATCTGCATAGAAATCGGTCTTATTTCCGAAATGAGCCGACAATTTCAAGGCCAAGTTCCCCGTGCAGGCCTTTCTATACAGTCTGGACCTTTTGGATCCCAACAAGATGATTTTTTTTCTTTATACCTCACTGTATAGTAAAAAAAAAAAAAAAAAAACAATTTTACTTTACTTAGGCCTAGAAAATGCTCAAGTCAACCTACACTAAACGGTGTATTTTTGTATCTGATTGATCTGATGATTGTATCCATGTTATCAATCAAGGAGGTTTACATAGAAAACATGTTATTGTAGAAAAAAAAAACGACCGAAAAGCAGTACGGGAGCACTATTTACCTTATTACCTTCTTGCCTTCAAGGGAGGTAATTAAATCAGGCTTGCTTGCTGTCTCTTCACTAGCACTGGCGGTTGTTTTGTCTAACTTTTCCCCACCAAGTACGGCTAGGTTTTTCCTATTTCCAAGCACTTTGGTTTCTTTCTTCTTTGAAAATCCAAATGAAAGAGGCTTTTTAGAATCGGATGACATTGTTAGTATATTAGAATTCTGTATACCCACTAGAGGCCTAGGCCAATTGTATATTTAAATGCACAAGACAACGTTAGGCAAACGTTTTGCGTAAACAACCGACAGATTAAACCTCCAAGTAGGCTAAGCAGCCATGACAGTCTCGACTAGGCTAGAGGAAAGAATGAAATATAATATTTTTATTATGTATTATTTTTGTTAGTACATTAACTTCTAACTAATATAATTTTAACTACTAACAATATATTATAAAATGATACAATTTTTCAGAAAAATAAATAATATGAGTAATATTAGCTTTAATTTAATCACTTAAAAACGCCTGCAGCGCCCTCAAGATTTTTGAGAAGCCGACGACGTGTCCTTCTTTCTGTTGTTTCCGAAGTGGTAGGGCAACATGGCAAAGTTAATGTTATTTAGCATCCTTCTTGTTTTTCCTCTTCTAGTTTCAGGTACTATAAGCTTATGTTTTCATTATTTAATTTTAAATAGTTAAATTCTTTGCTTGGAAAACATTTTTGGCCTGTTTCATGAAAATAAGAATGCATCTTACTCCGTGCTTTGTCGCTAGGGGCCTAGGCCTATTAGTATAGGCTACGCAACGCTAGTAAGTGGGCCTAGATAGCCTAACTAAGAAGGGTCAATGAGACATAGGCTAGGCCTAGCTGCTACTTGGTAGTAGGCCCTAGGAGCTGTCTCTTATACACATCTAGATGTGTATAAGAGACAGGTTGACTTGTTTGTATTCCTGGGTTCAAACCCTGTCTCATTGTGTCTAAAAAAGTTTTAAAAAAACTCCACTTCCTAAGTTTTATGAAAAGATTTAAACTAACATTCTAGTTTTCAGTGTATTTTGTTTAATGTTTACAAGATATTTTTAAAATGTAGGCCTTACTCAATTTAATAAATTTGGTTTCAGGGCAAAAATGTGAAGGTGCCAAAGTAAAAGAAAAGGTGTATTCTACCAGTGATGCTGTAACATCTTCACAAACTGTTTTTTCTGTAGAATTTAAATTGGATTGTAAGAATAATGCTAAGGTAATTGAGCCATATTTTCACAATTATGTTTCATTTCTGCATACATGTTTTAAATTAAAGAAAAGAAAAATTTTGAAGAATTACAAATATTGTTGGAAAATGTGTTTAACATTGTGTTAATATCTTATGTGTTATTTCAGAATTTATTTTTAAATGCTGATGTTAATGGCTATCAAATGCCAGTTGGAAGAACTGGAGATAACCAATACCAAGTAAGAATGTATACATATATAGTCACGGCTAGTTTATTTATTATGTAATATATTTTTTCTTACAATATGAATATATTTTTATGATATAGTATAATATTAATATAAAGAATAATACAGTATAATATGTATAATATTCCTCCTTCAATCATAATATCCAATTCTCAGGCCCAAAGTCCTGGAATAACATTCCTTTTAAAATTTCAAATTCAGATTCAAAAATAAATTTTACCGACAGGTTAAAAATACCATATGCTTTCCAAATATGTCTAATTTTGTTTTCTTTTTATCATTTAGATTTAGGCTATTTATGGTTTGATGGGTTTTAAGCTTGTGCATTGTGTCTTTTCCTTTTTTGTACCTTCTGTTTTTATTTTCCTTTTCTTTTATCTTAGCCTGTCTATTGTCTTGTATCATTTGTTTCCTGCATATATACAGTTTCCTGTATATATGTGGGCAGCCAATCTCAAGCCTTTGCTTTTAGGAATCTTGCCCTTCTTATTTTTACCATGAATATCAAATGTACCGTATAATAAAAAAGATAAATAAATGTACTGTACATGTGAATAAATGAATAATCATATACTATTACTGCTGGTCTTTAATATACTGTTTATAGTATAAAGAATATAATATATTTTTATAATTATAATATGATAATACAATATAACATATATTGGTATAATGGAATACTCTAATCTATGTAAGATAATTTAATTTTATGTCTTCTAAAAATTTAAATCTTGGGCAAAAGAAACCTGTGTTTTGCCCAAGCCCAACCAACAAAAAATCTTTAAAATCTAGGCCCTCATTTTTTTTTAATCAAAGAAAAGAGCCCAAGTACTTGTATGATCTTTGAAAATGCCAACTTTGAAAGCTTGAAATAATGAATTTGATACCTTAGCCATGGAATTTAGCCCATTGGTCACAATTTTTACCAACCGACTAGTACATGAAGTGATTGATGGTGTAAAGAGGGAACACTATTGTTGATACCACCACTGATATAGTTATGGTGGGTGGAGGTAGGCAGGGCCACCCAGCCTTGAAGTTTTCCACCCAGTCTAAAGCTAATTTCATGGCCCTCCACCCATCCTTATTAACCCACTTTTCCATCCTTAAATCCACTCTTATTATTTAGAGTTTATTAATGTTATCACCTACCCACTCTTAAAATGTCTCTCACCCACCCTAGTTTTCTACCCTGTACCTCTTGCACTATCCACCATTTAAAATGTTTACACAATGATTAAAGTGTAGCTTCAGAATTTAACATGACATAATAATAATAATATCCTAAATGCAAACATGAATTTATTCTTACTATAACCCTGAACTACATGATACCAAAGTATAATGTTTTCATGGTCAGAATTATAATTATTGTCCTATAGGTCAGTTGGTTGGAAGAGCACAGTGCAGCTAAAGCTGGTCAATATGATGTCAAGATATTTGATGAAGAAGGATTTAGTGCCATGAGAAAGGTAAATTTACAGACGGCAGAAGCAGGTACCCTGGCTCTCATGCTCAGGATCAGTTCCCTATGTCATGAATTTTTAAATAAACATAAACTGCTGTTGAGCCTATATTTTAACAATACTACATATGTGTGTGTCAGTCATAGATTTACACAATATGTCCACTCAAGAATTTCCAGCAGTGTGTTTTTTTTTTTCTATTTCCTCCCATCAATTTTAAAGGCACTGCTCATTTATAATTTACCATAGCCATCACATTCAGTCCTCCCTTCAAATTCATATTCCCTTCCATGAATGTATGTCTTTTCAACATAATATTCAGTTGGTCATACATTTTGGAATAATTTATTCCCATTCAATTATCAAAAAAGAAGATTTTCCTAGTACAGTATTAGAATTAAAAAGCAATTGCTGTTAAATTTTGTTTTAATTAAGTGTGTTTGGAGCAGTGGAAATGTTTTGGTTTTCAAAACCTCGAGATTAGGATTTCAGTGCTTTCACTGTGCATTTCAATTTTGTCAATGTTTATACACCAGTTAAAATTATATATAAAATGTCGGCCAAAATGTAAAGATTCATCACTAAAACTATTATAAATTAAAATGCAAAAAAAAAAATGAATAAAATAATTGAATTAAATTATAGGCAGTCTTGTTTACAGTAAATAGATAAAATTTAAAATTTAGTGTTCTGTGCTAGCAATCATGATTAACATTCACATTTTCATGATAATTGAAACATTTGATGAATGAACATTTGTTGATTTTTTCTAGGCTCAACGTGATGGTAAAACAGATTCTAAGCCACTAGTTACAATTCCAGTCATCCATAAGGTAGAGTATCCATAATATCATAGTCTTTAAAGCTAACGTTAAAACAGCACATATTTGTGAAATGATGATGAATGCGCTGCTATCCACAGCATTTATTGGGTCTAATATAAAATATATCAGAAAATTGTCTTTAGTACACTACAATTAATATAAAAAACATCAAAGAACATCAAAACGGACAATATAAAAAAAAATGCAAAATAGAAAAATATCAAATTCAAATACAATGTACAAAAGGGAAAATTTAAAATTCATAATATCAAAAAGAATTATATTAGAAAGATAAATATTATTATTACAAAGAATTACATTAAAAAGTCTATATAAAAAAATTACATTAAAAAGTCTATATACAATAAATCGAATATCAAAAATAGAAGAATTTAACAGTTACCTAGACACCTGATTATTAAAAAATTTAACTGAAGTAGGAATAAATGATTTACTGAATCGGCTGGTTCGGGTGTAATGTGATCGAAGGCGAAGTGATGAGGGAAGGAATTGATATTCTTGAAAAAGAGGATGGGAAGGTTGGGATCGAATACGTGTGACCATATTTAAAACAGCAATTTCGTATTTAGATTTAATATCACATAAATTTGTTGAAGCAATCTTACTTGCTCTACGTGTGATTCTACCAAGAAGACTTTGGTCTTTAGTACTAAGATTATGTCATCGTTTATGTTTTTGACCTCCTTCACCATAATGAATGTTAATCTTATAAATGGTATCCATTTATCTAAAATTCAAGGAAGAACAAATCGATTTGAATGATATGAAATCCCATTTATCATTGATAAACACCTATATTGGTCTATTTTTTAAAATAACCAAATAATATCAATCCAAATTTTTAAAATTTATTTTAAGGTACATTTCATTGAAAAAAAATTGTTTATATACACTTTTTTATAATTTGTATTAATTTAAATAAATATTATGTATTCTTATAGTTAGTCTATGTGTCATGCGTAATGTTTATATTTTAAGGTGTTTTAAATCTTTAATATTATGTGTAATTAGCCCCTTTCGGATAAAGCTGCAATATTGCGGTAAGCACGCCAGCATGGGTTTCTGTTTGAAGAGTCGATAAGCTAATATGCCGGCTTAATATAGACAACCTCAGCACCTAGTAATATTGCCGCAATATTGCGGTAACGTTTACTGGCTTGCTCTGTCTGAAAGGGTCAACTCGATATTGCGGCAATCAAGCCAGCGTGTGCATTTATGCATAAACAAAGGTTAAAGTTAAAATAATTGAGCGCGGTGGTATTAAATTTTTTTACTTTCGTTTGTGGGTTGTAAAAAATAAACCTCCCATTTTTTGTCGCCATTGTTTAGCTACTCAAAGTGCCAATCTCCTTTACCTTAAACGGTTTTGAAGTGCATGTTTCAAATTGCTCTAGCAGAAATAAGAACATTCTGTTTGTGTAATGCATGTACAGCACATACATAAACAGAACAAAGTAACATTTACACAACAACAGCTGTAAAGAGAGCTGAGAGAGAGCAGTTTAGCTCAGTCAGCTAATCTGGTGGTAGCCACTGTGTGTGCGCCGAACCGTGGAGATCTGTAGGTCCCCGGTTCAATTCCCATTGCTGCCTCTCCTTGTATTTCAGCTGGAGGGCTGAGATACAAGTTACAATAGCGCACCATCTTTCGGATGAGACATTTAAGCCGTTGGTTCTGTGTGCATTGATGGCCCATGTGCATGTTAAAGAACGCAGTACATTATTCGGAAAAAAGTAGGTAATTGTCTGCCGGTGTACTGCCCAATCACCACCTGAAGGACCCCATCAAAAAAAAGTCTTTTTCTACACTTTCGTGGGCTTTTGTTGTTTACACCGAATAAATTCAATCCAATCCAAGTTTGATTGGGTGCCATATTGACAAAATTGTAAACAAAAAATGTTCGCCCTCTGTGTTTTAAACTGCCAATATTACGCCATTCTGTAGGACCCTTTCAGACAGAAAAGTGTTAGATTACTTACCGCATTATTGTGGTAACAAAGGCGTTGTGTGAAAGGTTATAGACTGTTATATTGCGGAATGTCTATCTCAAAGGGGCTTAATTGACTTAATTCAGTTGTAGTGTATTACTTTATTACCATGTCAATTGTTATTGTAATAATAAACCAAAATGAATAGTAAAACCCTACTGTACATTATACCCCATTCAGACTAGCATCGCATTGCGATTGGTTGTAGCAATTGCGACACCCAATCGCAAAGTAAAATCGTAAAATAGTAGTCGATATGTAATCGATATCGCAATTGTTACCCGTTGCGATTGGGTGCTACAATCTTTATTACTCCGGATTACCACGGAATCTGATCGCAACAAATCACAACGAATTCCACAGGCACTGTTTGGCTGAGGTCAGGCAACATAGGCCTAGACACCGGAGGCCTAGGCCCTAGAATGTAAAGTTTGTTTGTGTTGGTCTGAATGCGTTCGCTGATTGCGATCGGGAGTAATCAGTTTTGGATTACCACCGATTACATCGCAACCGATCGCAAGAGAGTGTAGTCTGAATAGGGTATTAGTTGATATTTCAAATTTCACACTAGCACTCAAAATATCCAAAAATTGGCATCTTGACCAATTTCAGGTTATTGTAGCTTTTGTTGAAAGAATTTTCTGTCAAATATCAATTACTAAATCTAGCTAAAATTATTGTTAAAATATCAATATTAAACTACTGATTTTGCAATCGTTGGAAGCTGTTTTCGTAAAACCTATATGGCAATCTTCATAATTTCACTACAATGCAAATAGACGTTTGTACTACTGACATGTTGACATGTACTGAATGCTCAGTACGTTCCCAAACAATTGCGGAAAAATATGATTCGGGTGGGAATGGAACCCACAACCTCCATATAACTACCCCAGTGTCTCAACCACTCCACCGAGCTTGCCCTTTGGTGGTTACAATACTCAACCAAATGAAAACTTTCTATTATGGAGTAATACATGTAAAAATTAACACTAGCAACAATTTTGATATTGGAAATCAAGCATCATAGCCACCAAGCTACTGTAACAGCTCCACTTGTCTGTTTACTAACATGGACAATGCATCCTTAAAAACGTAAATACTGGTACAGAGGTTGTGGATCAGTCTCTCAATTTTGGGGTTGGGGATTCAAACACATGCTGCAAATTTTGCTAATGTCCTTATTTTAATTACATTGAATGCTATTTGGTAATTACATATTATGTATTGCGGCATATTCATAAATACTCTCAAGAGAAATGAGAAAAATTTCAGTTTGTGCCAGTTAGCCAATCAGGGACCTAGTGATTACTACAACAATAGTTTATAATAAGTTTCAGTTTCATATTATAGCTGTGACATGATTAAGAAAATGATTAAAAAAAAATAACATTTATTGGTTTAGTTACATTATGATTCATGTTAAATTTACTCTTGAGTCTTAATATATTTTTACCGTTTATAAATATTGTTTTTCATTAATGCATTGTTTTTGTGATGGGACTTGCAAACCACAACAATAACATTTTTCTTTTGTTTTTTTAGGGTGTATCCAGTGGTGTTTGGGTCAGGACAGAAGTAGTAGTAACTGGAGCCAGTCTATTTGTATGGTACATGGCATACAGAGCTAAATCTAACATCCAGGCCTAAGAAAATACCATCTTTACCATTCAAAAACAAGGTCCACAAACTCTATAATTTTCCACAATATTACCTAAAATCTGAAGCCCTTTTCTCTCTTTTGATGAACTTAAATAAAAATATTGATTATTATTTAATAATTTTCAGAAGACACGTGAATAATAATAGTTTCTTTCGAATAATAATAGTTTCTTTGTGGTCATTGAAAGTAACATCCAAAATTAGTTTACAGTGAGTGAAAGCAAGTTCAACTTGGGGGTAGAAACAATTACAATTTGCCATTATTATTTTATTATGGGTTAAATCATGTAGGAATAGTCACATGTTGTTTGTTACTGCCTCAAACATAGCAGGATTCCCTGGGGTTCCAGGATGCTAATAATTTCAGTTTCTACAGGAAATACTCTTCGATGGGGTGTGACGAGGTTAGACATTAATGGGCTACAGCTTTTTGTGCATTGAACAGTAACATGTTACCATATTTCGTTTAAAAATCTCTCTCAACGTCCTTTTTAGATTCATTTCAATCAACTGTCACATTTTCTTGTGGTTGCCATTTTAGTATTAAAAGCCTGGTGAAAATTAACCTGAAAGTTATCTACTTATTTTTATTGTTTGTATACCGATCCTCTTGTGCATTAACTATCAAATAATTCATTAAAACATGTTTACTCTAGATCAATATCCCAACGTGAAAAGGATGGTGGCAGCTGGGGGCGGGAGGCAACTCCTTCTCTGTTCTCGTCGGGGAGAAAATCCACAATTCCTCGGGGAGAAAACAAATTTATATATTTTTTACATTATTAGTAGAGCAAGACTTACCTTGTTTAGCGAACTCGCTGCCCATCGATAATGATAATTACGAATACAAATTAATTTTATTTTTGGCCAATTAGCGCACACGCCGCCACGAAAAGATGGAAGTTTCGGGGAAAAAAAATTAAAAGTTACTCTTTATTTTTATTACTTCTGCCGCTGCCTTGAAATCTCCAGAAATAGGGTATGTTTATTTATCCTAATTATATAAATTTAAAGCATTTAACCATCTCATTACTACACTGCTTGCATTTACCAATACTATTTTTATTTTCTCCTCCGTCTGGATGTTTTTGGCAAAACCATTTGCTAAATAGAAAAACAAAATGTTATTTTTATTTTTTTTCCACCCTCCTCTGATGGTCTTTAAACAAATAAGTTTGCAAAACATGGGATAAAAAAAGTTTTGCCTAAACTGTAAAATCGATTAAGCCTTTGAAACACTTAATTTATCATATTTTTCGAGGGCTTTGGCCCCTAAACCACATTCGAAATAGAGGGACGCCTGACCACGCCCACTTTGTTCTCGTCAGGCAAATTCTGCCGCCACCCCATAAACGTGAAAAGAATTCATTGATTCCATCAAACTTCCAATAAACTGTATCTTCCTCAATCCAAATTCAACATGTGCTACAGTGATTTTTTTTTAGCTCTGGAAACACTCCGCTGATTGATTAATAGATCGTTTTTGTATGGGCAGCCGTTAGGGCCAATATACTATAATGCAAGCGGGTGCGATTTCCAGGCACCATGAGGTCCATATTATCAAAATTCTCTCACCTTAGCCCAAACCATGGTGGGGCTGAGGTGATGTAGGCTCTAATGCACACCCTACCACCAAATCCTGCATCAGCCCCAGGCATACTGAGTTAAACACAACATATTCAGAATAAGGCTACGTTCACACACACGGCGTAAGCCTGGCGTAGCGTACATCTTTGTGGTGTGAACCTGGCAGTGGCATTACTTGCGCCACTCACAACGCCACTTGCGTGGCGTTATTAACGCTACCTGCAGACCCCAGGTGGTAACGCCAGTGATGCTTGATGATCTGACCTCGTTTCAAGAGATTGACCAATCACGATTGCAATACATTGGTTACTTTCATCTCTTTCCTGTGCTCTCTATAAATGAAATGGTAAAGGGGTTCTTTTTCTATTGCATTTTACTTAGTTTGCAATGTATATGATTTGTTGATTGTGTTTTGTAACATATTTCAACCTATTTAGACCTGCAATAACAATTGTTCGACAATGCTAGCTGAAAAATCAGAAGTAAAATTGTTCATTTAAAATACAATAATCATATAAGTTCACTTCGAACAATTCTCAGATTTAAAAGTTTTAATGATGCACTGTAAATATGTTACTACAGTTAAGAGCCCGTACATTATTTAAAACTGAAAACTATTCCCCCATAGACCTATATTACTACTAGTTAATATAGCGAACGCCGTTTGTGTAAACACTTTGGAATTCGATCCATGGATTAGCTTTACGCCGGCGTAAGCTACGCCATTCTTACGCCGTGTGTGTGTGTGAACATAGCCTAAAGCACTTACATTTCATTTGCTTAACATACCTTAATCCGATTATTAAAATAGAAAGCTTCGCTGTATGATAGTAGCAAAAACGCAGCGTACTGTTGTATGGCAGCAATAGATGACGTGCCTGTCCTGTCCTCTCGTTGACCTTGGTGACATGCTTTATTCTGCATTTGAAATTGAACTAAAGGAATCCCAGAAGGGTTTGTGTTATGACGGATATAAAACGATTAAGGCAATGTAGAAAGTTTTAGATTGGCTTTTATTAAAGACATTCATGTTGTCACATTGCAGTTTTAACATTAATTTAACAGGCCGCCTTGATAAAGAGCACAGTTTAATGTAGGATAACAATCAAATTGAAAGAAATACTTTTTTTTTTTTTAAATCTCTTTTGTCCACACTATCAAATTTAATGTACCAAATTTGTGTGGTGAGCCCATTATACAGGAATTTTGTTTTCATATTATGCCCAACTATGGGCATATCGAATTTATTTGTCATAATATTTTTACAGTGTGGACCATGAAACTCCATGTGTGGATAGCACAGAGCCTTAAAATAATTTAGTTCTTGCCAAGGACTAAATTTACATCTCACCTACTATCATAATCAATGTAACTTGAAATTGTATTATGTCGTGATCTCAATCCGTACGTTTCAATACCGGATTAATATATAATAAGGGGTAAATTGAGGAGGGGTAGTGTCTTATCAAAGCTCATAGAGGCAGTCTATTGCAATATGTGATATACACCGCACTATATTTACTATTAATATAGGCCTACATTAATTGAAGTACCGTATAATGTGTATTAATATTATGGATATGAAAGCTCTCAATGTTTTTAAGTGGTTGCTAATTGTAACTACGATTTTTTTTTTTTTTTTTTTTTTTTTTTTTTTTTTTTTGTGACAGCTTTTTTGTGACTTTTATTTGGGATTTGATTCCTGAGTCGCCGCCCTTCTAAGACATTTTAACTCTATATATTTATTTTTTAATCAAAATGTAATAAATAAAATATATCCTGGGCACGTACGTGTATAGGCCTACGTTTCGTTGGTGCATGCATGTATGTTCGGATGTGACAGTAAAGGACCCAGGGGCGGATCTGGGTTCAAATTTATGAGGGGGTCAGAATGTTTCCAAAAAATTCAAAAAAGAAAGGGGCGTCAAAGGCCTCCCCGGGAAAATTTTAATCGCTAGATGGCGGGAAATGAGCTTTCCCGACTTTTGATGTGTCTTTTAATGACTTTTAAGTACTTCAAAATTCAAAGTTTCCCCTCATGGAAACGGGCAGGAAAACTTTCTCATTTTTATTACCTAGTAAATAGGCCTATGTGTGTATACTTAAACATATTCTATTTTCCATGAATGGATGAACCCCAAAGATAACGGAGGAGGGTGGAGGGTAGAGTTTTGATTCCTAGAAATGATTAGTAGAATGCGCATTTCCGATTTCTGAGGTGTCTTTTAATGACTTAGGAGTCATTAAAAGTTTAGGTTTTACCTCTCTTGAAAACGATTCAATGAATTCTGACTTCTAATTTTCCCATTGTAACAACAAAAATTCAGCTCACGGGTCCTGAAAAGGTAGGTCTAGATTCTTTTTTTTTGTTTTTTTTATAATGCCTGTCTCTTATACACATCTAGATGTGTATAAGAGACAGATATAGATAATTATTTAATAATAGTTTGGGAGGAATAGAATAATATAATTGTACAAGACTAGACAAGAACGACTCGCTCGACACGAAAAATTTAGTTTATTATTTGTTTATTTACAAACATTAAAAGACCTCTGACTGCAAGCAATCGAGGAAAGACTAGACAAGAACAAACCCGCGCGACACGAAACGTTTAGTGTATTATACAAACGTTGAAACCGCTTTGTTTCGAGATTTGAGCATGAAGGCAAGGCAAAAGTAGCTTTCTTAGCTACGTTTTTTGTCCGCTGATCGGTTAAAAAACGTATTTTATTTTCATTTTATCACTGAAAAACAACTACTGTAAAATGTTTAGCCCATAAATATGATGTGTGTGAAGAAAACATTATTATAAACAATGTTTTAATTTGGACCTTCAAAAAGCAGTTAAAAAGAAATGGCTATGCAATTTTAGGGGGGGGGGGCTAAAGCCTGTTTAACCCCCCTCTAGATCCGCCCCTGACGGTACATCATGTCATGTCAATGGCACACTCCAAACATATTCCAGATTGATGACCTGTTTCTCATGCCCCTTTGTGTTTTGGAAAAAGAGAAACTTCCTGATAATGCTCTTTCCTCCCCGGGGTTTTCCCTCCAGGGGTATTTCCCACCGTGATTCCGAATATAAGAATTGTGGTGAGAATTTATTAAATATTAAGGTCACCAAAGCACAGGTTCATTTAAGGCATCTCGTTTGTAGGCATATAATTATAGAGACGATACCAGATTTCTGCCAGAATCAAGACGGGCATCACATGAGATAACACATCGTCTAGATCGTCTAGAGGTAAGTTTCTTCATGTATGCTTAAAAGCCTACCTACAGTTATTTTGCCATGTTGCTTTAGTTTTTATGTTTCCTGACGGAAACCAGAAAGTTTTATGCCGAGTACCTACGCACTACATCGTACGAAGGTCGTACAACGAATCCAACTCCGCTCCCTGTGAACGCTAGGCGACGCCGTCTGCGGATCGTCGGTGGCAGTCTGATGGATCCGTTGCTATTCGTTGCGTACTCCATAAAAAGCGCATCGGCTGACGACCGTTTCGCGTAGTGAGTGCCCGGCTGCACTTTTTTTTTTTTTTTTTTGACGATTCGAGGACTGCGACTGTCGAGTTAATCGGAGTTAATACACAAAAGAAAGTTTTTATTCTGTGTATTCCGTTCGTAGAGACAACAATTTCAGATGGTTTGAATCAACACCACCATATAAGTATGGTTCCCTCATGCGGTGGTGGGTGTAGTTGATGAATTAATATTTTTTTAATATTTTTTTTTTAAATTTAGGCCAACTTTTAGGCTATTATTTAAAAGAGCACATTTAGTCGACCCTACTAAATCCACCCCTGTCTGACGACATTACATGGTGAAGCAGACTTCTCCCCAGCAGATGTGGCGCTAGTAGGAGGCCAGATCTCACCCCATCCCATTAGGAAGAAAAACCAGACTTCGTCGGGGAAAATAATATATTATATGCTATTTTTACATACAGTATTTATGATTAAATAATTTGAAACTTC